AGTTATATTATTTTCATCTTACAATATAAATAGCTCAAGTTGAAAAAAGCTTAAAAGAAAAAAGATTAAAAACGAACAATTTTGACCACCAATGACTGTTAGTTGATTGATCCTGTCAGACATTCGTTTCTTTTCATCCAATGTAGATTCTAGAGTACGCTGAACATTACGCTTTTCAAGCCTACATGCTTCCAGATCTGCTCTTAATTCCTGTACTTCTCTACGTTCCATAGTTAACTCACGTTCTAAGACATGCACTTGCATCATGATATCCTCTAACTTCTCCTGAACAAGTGTGAAAATAAAAAAATTACATAAATATATGTACGAAAATATACATAAATACAATTGTCATAGTTACCTGGAGTTTGCCAACTCTTCTGTTATTCTCTTTAACTGCAGAGTTGCAATCAGCTTCTACAGCTAATGCAACGTGATCTATATCTCTTAATTCTTTCTCAAGTTCCTCATTTCGTGCTGCTAGTTTCATTGCCTGAGACATAGCATCATGTTGTTTATTTAGAGATTCTGCATCATTCAAAAAAAATTAAGTACATGAATTGTTTTCATACAATTAAATAATTATGTTAAAAATTTATATATAAGACTTTCTTTCTTTATTCTATTAAATTTCTTGCCTTTTAACTGTTGTTCCAACTCCAATTTGGCCTGTTGAAGAATTTTAACTTCATTAATTTCTGCAGTATTATGAGTAACATCAGTTTTCTTTTCTATTTTTTTGCAAGTACAGTCCTTGCTAAGTGCAATATGGGAACGACCGCCTTCTAACATTTTTCTTAATCGAATTATTTCTTTTTCTTTTGTGGCTAGCTGTATATTTAGTAAAAATATGTTAATGGATCATATATATTGGCATTCTTAAAAAAATTATTACCATGCGTCAATAATTTTTAGCATGCACGATATAAACGATTGTAGAATATTCAATATTTTTCTTGCTTCTTGGAAAACATTCAACATTGACAAATGCATGCACAAATATTGATGCTTAGTATACCTGTTTCTCAAGAATCTCTATGGTATCGGTTTGCAATAAAAGCTCTCCCCGTAATTTGGTTACCTCCTGACTTAGACAATTCATCTTGTGGTCTGCCATGCTTATCATGTCTATTATCTTAGGCTCCACACTACTTAATTTTGGCAATGAACTGTTGGTCTTTGCCTTTGGCATTGGCTCAGCTTCCAAGACTGCTCTTCGAAGAGGAAAGCAGGGACGTTTCTTGGCAGCTGTAAAAAATTTTATAAAGTGCCTTACTTAAAAATTTATTGAAAAAAATACTTTACTGATATTTGAAATAAAGTAACAAAACAACTCACCAAGACCGACATTAATAATAGTTGGCTTTAGACATTTGCCTTGAAGCTCCAATATCTTCTTAGATTTGGCAGCTGATTCTGCCTCAAGCTCCTTTATCTTATTTATGTTACGCGAGGATGCCAGTTGTAGATCATTGCATTCACATTCTAACTTGTATATCTGTCTTTTAAGATCCTTGACTTGCTTCTGATGTGTCTCCTTAGCCTCTATCAGATCTGAATGAAGCTGGTTGCATTCTCGCACTAATCTTGCATTATCACATTTGTAAGGATCAACTGCCAATTGCAACTGGCTGCATGTCTATATACAATGCATAATACCATTAAATTAAATATTGTACATTACATTAATACTTCTACACTTCAATATTCTATCAAATTATTCGCCAGTGATATTATGATATAAGAGATAGTTTTTTCTTGGCATTAACTTCAGCTTGAAGTTAGATAATCAAATTGTATTCAAATGTTTTTTCAGAGAAAACATTCTCATTAATGTGTTGCACATGAGGTATAGTGAGCGACATACCTCAATATTCTCTTGAGCGACGGTTTTGAAGTGCTTAAGGCTGTCTGTGGTTTGTATCAAATCACCCAGTAAGGCCTCTACCAGGGGTAGAGCGTCTAAAGACAGCGCCTGTTTGTATCCCAAGTTATCTAGATGTTTTTTAACTGTTCGATATCTAGCGGCGACATTGTACTCCACGTCTTCATTCATCTTCGATACCGTTCAATGTAATATGTACACTGATCGTTATAAGATAGCCTTAGGTCATATAATCAATACGATACTTCTAAAACGTAACCTCATATCTTCATTGTTGTTATTGTAATCATATAAATACATTATTAATGTTTGCTCGTCTGTTACTACAGAATGGACATGGGAGACAGCATCACTAATTAACATTGCGGATACATGTAATAAACAATAACGATAACGTTCCATAAATCAACGATAATCATTCAAATCATACGATACATACATCTTTTCTTACCAAATAATTTTGTTAATGTATCATTATTTGTTTATAAACCTAATACATTATTATCATATTCTCATTTCGCCAGAAACGCTCGAAATACTACTCATAACATTCCAACTCGTCTCGAATCGTTTCCTCGCAAACTATTTTAAACAGTTCAAAAATGTTGCCAACCTAAGGGCAACCATATATATATTTTTATTTAAAAAAATATATATTGTTTAGGAATTTTCCAGTGAACCACCAATCAGAAAATATTTAATTGACCAATGAGAATTCCATTAAATTCCTCCTATTTCTATTGTTCACGTATCTAATTGGCCAATTTAAATATAAAATTTTTTAGGAGTCGGTATGGTTGGGATACAGTCCACTTGGTGCTACAAATGCTTCGAAGCATTTTTTTGATTGGTCAATTCATAAAATTCTTTGTTTTAATTGGTTAATCAAACGCTAAAGAGACCGTAGCCTTGAGAAAGAAGATATAACAAAGAGATTTACTAGCTTTCGACATATGAAGTTGCAATTACTCTAGTAAATTTCTTTACTTTTGTAATTTTCATATTGTTTCAAAAGTATACAATCGACTCTCTGATTGGTAGTTCACTGAAAAATTTCCAAGTGTCGATCAATGCAAATGGACATGAATTATAGGGACTCTGTTGATCCCTCTAGGAAAGTTATTTACAATGTTGCAAATCTCATAACTAAAAATAATATTTTCGATACATCTGATGGAACACATCCATAGTGATGAAGTTAGCAGTCTAGTTAGCTTATAGAAGTTTGTGGACGAAATGCAACGGGGGTTGACATATCTGCGCCAGCAGCCCCGGGCATTAGTGCTACGAGCCTCGGATGTTAAGCTGGAAGTGACGTCAGAGAACGCATAACGCAAACGGGCGAGTGTGTTCAAACAGAAATATTGAACTTGAACCTGCTCGTGAACTTAAATTCGATCGTCGTTGCAGTTTAATTCGTGAATAATTACAAATAGGGTAGGCAGACGGGTGATCTGCAGTAATGACGATATCGCCGTCTCTCCATCAAACGCGATCAATACTTGGAGGTCGTGAAACGCGATACGACGTAATGAGACCTAAATTTAAGACTTTCATCAAGTTAGTCCGCATTAAGATACGCAGCAACGCCTTACACCTGCAAAAGAACAATAATCTGACTTGTGCAGGGGAATAATTATCGATCAATGACACATAGATTTTTAATGTGCTCCGCTGCGCTCATTTCGACAAGTTCGGAAGGCCGTACGAATGGAGCCATGTATCATCCAATCGATCAGGATGGTTGACATTTGGGAGCAAAAATTGTCGCATTGGCGATTTTTCAGTGATTATCGCACGCTTGCTAGTTCTCGATGTGTCAGTTTTAACGTTTTGAACAATAATGGTGGAAAAAGAAGAAAGGGTGAAGGTGGAAGAGAAAGGGTAGATGGAAGAGGGAGACGAAGTATCGGCACGTGAAGAGGTCAAGGTGACAAATAGGAGGGACGCAGGGGGGGGAGATCATATTGCGAAGGTCCCCAGCAGCACCGACGCACCGCTGACCTTTAAAAGTTGCGTCCGCCTTGTCACAGTCTTGTTTTGGAGCTTGCAAAAAAAGTAGTTCGCGCGTAGAGCGATTAGTTGTCAAGAGTGGAAGGATGCATCGCTGAGGAGCTCAAAAGAAGCTTAAAGGGTAAAAAATAGATTAAGGGAGAGTGCAAGTTTTACCTTCATATTATTTTTATTTTGTTTTATATATAGGGTGATTTAGAGCAAACGTTTATTTTAGAAAATATCGTATTCTTAACTTGATTGTGAAATGATGTTTTTCTTTACAAAATTTTATCCGACGCTCAATTTTTAAATTATAAGAAGAAACCGTTTGCATATTACGAATCGAGTACAAAAGGTAAGCAGGGACGGCGCGATTCACCATCTGGCGCGGGCGATTATATGAGGCGCTTGCGATCAGCTGCTCGCTACACGCGACAATACGCCTACATATATGCATAAACATTCCCTCTCTATCTCATTTTTATTCACTCTCACAGTTACACTGTATAAAAATTCGATAAATTCTCTCTATCTTGAGAAAAACGGATAAATAATTTTACAATTTTATGAATCGTAAAATTAGCTTATGTAACAATTAAGAAACAATTTGATCACGTTTTTGGAATAAGACAATTCCACATCAAATAACCAAAATTTAATAATTTTAATTTTTTGTTTTAATTTTAAAAATTTTTTAAATTTCAATACATTTATATATCTTTTCACTTAGTTGCTAAAACGAGAAGTTTATTAATGAAACTATTAGTTAATTATATCAATCTTTATCGACCGAAAATTATTTAAGAGGGAAGAGAAAAAACAACATGTATCGCGAAACATTAAGAAGAAATGTTTCTTCTTCCATAAATTATAACTAGGATTTTATCAAGAATAAGAAATTTAAAAAATTTTTAAATTTAAATCTTTTTTACATTAGCATTTGGTTATAATAACTAGACTCATAGATTATATTATAGTAACATTTGTTTAATATAAAAACGGTTGATATTTATGAAAACTGGAATCTCCCAACATCAACAAGTAATCATGGATGGCAAGTTAATCTTGTACTAGCTATCGAACGTGAATATTTGTCCTGAATCACCCTCTATACACACATACATATATATAATATAGATATCATAGAACTATAAAATTAAGTTGCTTAAAAAAACAGTGAAATTTTTAAATAACAAGTACATTGATCAACAAAAGAATATCATTGCATGCATTATGATTGCAGCAATTCAACACACATAGGTTGCACAATATGTGCAAACTATGAGGAGAAATGAGAAGGAAAGGACTAATGTATGCATGGTGAGAGACGACAACCGTACAGTACCAGGCAATACAAAGAGGAAAATACAAGCAGACAAGTAGGAGTAAAAAAGAGAATGGGAAATCAGGAAATTAGTAAAAGAAAATTGAGCAAAATAGCGGGATTAAGAGGTCTTTTAAGAGGCGTATGTGGATGCTTCCAAGATAACGATATTGAAGATAGAAAGTTTCCTTTAAATAAAGGTAGACAACTTTCAATCACGAATGAACTTATAAAAGTATCTCAATATATGATAGCAAAGAGCCATGATGTTACTCAAAATGAAGATGAGATGACGGAGCCCGAAGAACTCGACGAACTCGATGAATCCGGTAACAGCCTAGAGATTGTAGATCTGGCAATCCCATCAACATCAAAAGCAGATTGTCCACCATTACAATCTAAGATGTGGTATAGAGAAATTCATGATGTTGTCCAAAATAAAAATACGATGACTGAGTTCGCTGAAGTTGATAACAGTTTAGAAATTATAGATTTGGCAGTACCATCAACATCGACAGCAGACTATCCTCCATTACCGTCTAAGATGTGGTACAAGGAAACACGGAATGATATTCAAGATAAAAGTAAATTAAATGAGCTCATTATCGTCGACACCGGCCTAGAAATTGTAGATCTAGAGGTTCCATCAACATCAACAAACTGTCCAACGACACAATTCAAGATGTTGGACAGAGAGATCCAAGATGCTGATAAAAATAAATACGATGAGTATGACGAGATTCTAGAGATTGTACGCACGACAATTCCATCCATATCATTAACAAAGCTTCGATCATGGAAACCCAGCATCTTACGACAAAAATTAATTTTTGAGATAGAGAACATAGGACGTATTATGAAAGTTGTACAAACTCAAGTCAACCGCTGGTTAGTCATTATAGATGAAAAAATATTTCCAGAGAAAGAGTTTTTACAGGAATATTTGGCTGGAGCGGATAAGTTACATGAATTGCAATGTAAACAAATAAAGCTTAAACGTGTACAGGAAGAGATACAAAAAAGGAAGATTTAAAAAGATTAGCTAAAGAAACTTCAAAGACCCCAAAAATATTATTGGTACATTTTCCAAATAATCAACATACTATTGTACAGATACAGAAAGGACTGACGCTAAGGAAAGCAGTAGCTAAGGCTATGGAACGTAGACAATTAACCACAAATGATTGTGCAGCTTATGTTAACTGTCGTATTTCATATTTTATTTCTTGGGACACAGATATCTCGACTTTGCAATGTAAAGAGGTATTTGTGGAAACATTAGAGGAATTTCCTGTTCCAATTTCGGCTTATCATAATTTTGTACGTAATACTTTTTTGTTAAGTTATTGCTGTATTTGTAAAAAGAGACTTTTTTACGGATATCATTGCACAACTTGCAATAGAAAAATTCATAGAAAATGTATAGCCTATGCACCTGTACTCTGTGAACGAGTAAAAAGATGGAAAGCTTATTATCAAAGGTTATTAGCTAATAATGCAACTACTGGAATTTTGCAAGTTCGTTACGAAGGAAGAAATACACCTCCAACCCCTTCGACTCCTCAGACATCGAGAAAACAAACACAAATAGTTTCTATTTCTACACCGAATGTTTCTATGAATAAGTCTTCTGGATTTTCGCAAATATGTAAGAAAATAGAAAATTCAGTTTCTCAAGGATTATTTAAAAAATGGAAGCAGAGACCAAACAGTAGTTTGACTGAACCAATCATCGGCCATTTAGAAGATTCAACAAAAATGGATGAAAATATTCAAATTGATTTAAAAATGAAGCAAACAAATGAAGCAAGCCTTGATGATTCCGATGACGCTGACAACCAATCAATGCAGAACACTGGAAACAATCAAATTGATTTAAAAATGAAGAATATAAATTCTGATGATACTGTAAAACAGTCGAGAAAGAACAATGGACATATTCATATTAATTTAAGAATGAAGCAAGAAGAATCTAATGATTCTATAAACCAAAAGACTTTAGTTGATTTTGTTGCTGCAAAAAAGAATAACAAAAAACGTGATAGAAAACGTGCAAAACGTACAAATGAGACAGAGCGTGCAGAGTCTGATGATTCTGATAAAAGTATCTTTAGTAAAAATGATTCTATTAAAGATTGGAAAATTCCACCAAAAGAAATTTCATTTGGATCACGTATTGGGCAAGGCGCGTTTGGAACTGTTTATAAAGCTGATTGGTACGGACCCATTGCAGTAAAAACATTAAATGTTAAAATTCCAACAGAAGAACAAAAAAATTCTTTTAAAAACGAAGTAAACGTTTTACGTAAAACCCGACATAAAAACATTTTGTTATTTATAGGTTGTATCAGTAAACCTCATTTTGCGATTATTACGCAATGGTGCGACGGTTCATCTTTATATGATCATTTGCACGTTATGGAACATAAATTTTATCCATTAACAATAATTTTTATTTGCAAAGAGGTTTCCGAAGGTATGGAATACTTACATTCCAAAGATATTTACCATCGGGATTTAAAGAGTAATAATATCTTCTTTCAAAATGGACTTCATGTTAAAATTGGTGATTTTGGTCTCGCAGCATTAAAAAATGAAAAAGACATTGTTGGACAGATCCGTCAGCCAGCTGGTTCTATTCTTTGGATGGCACCGGAAGTCATTAGAATGCGTGAACCATTTCCATATAGTTTTAAATCTGACGTCTATTCATTTGGTATAGTAATGTATGAATTATGCACTTGTGAATTACCATATCGTGATAAGGGTTACGGCAAAGATCAAATTTTGTACATGGTAGGGAAAGGTGATCTGCGTCCTGATTTGACAAAAATACGTCCTGATATACCTAATGCACTCCAAAAACTTTTAAAAAGATGCATTTCTTTTGAAAGGGAATATCGACCAGAATTTTTGGAAATTTGCAAGATACTAGTCAAACTTTATAGGAGGACACCAAAAATAAGAAAAACAACTTCCGTACCAAGTTTAACTGACGAATTGCCTGATACTTATATTGAGAAAGAGGATCAAATTCGAAACTTTCCTGAATGTTTTGTTGAGCCAGACACACGACAAGAATTGAAGAATGATCGCCCGGACTGGTCAGATTTGCAACAAGAATAGACTATACGTTCATCTTAATTATAGGTAACATGCATATAATAAGAGGACAAAAGGCGTTTGGTTAAGGTTGATTAAGGTAATGAGTAAAATGGTGTAGTCGAAAAGAATCATGTTTTGAATGATTTCGTCTTTTTATTTTTTTTTTTTTTTTTTTTTTTTATTTTTTTTTTTTTTTTTTTTTTTTTTTTTTTAGTTAACAGGAAAACCGGAATATTGAATGTCTTGTTAAAACATAGTCATAACTGAATTAAAATATCATTTTGGTCTAGATCTCTGCTTAAAAATATAAAAGAATATTAAGTTGTAAGAATGAAACAATTTAAATCGTACTAGTCATTGCTTGCCTGTGAGATATTTGTCCAAAAGCCAAAGTTAGTTTTGTATCTATTTTGATTTTATCTCGAATATGCTCATATTATGCTCATTTTATACTTCTTTCATTTGATAAGATATTTATATGATTATAATATTATTTATTTGGAAATACTAGTACAACGATTTGTTTTTGACTGATTCATTAAAATCTGTAAAATATATTTAAACATTAGCATAAATGGCCTAAGAGAGCTATGTTTAATCTAGTTAACAAATGTACTAGGATATATGTATCAAAATTGAACAAAGCGGTTAATCATACACACTTTGAAACATTCTTTTATGGAATTTTTACTGTAAACTTTGCTTCTTTATATTTCAAATATTTAATTCTAACTCGAATATCTCGCTATCGATTTATAAGTTTTACAGTTCATTGTTCGAATGCAACATCGAGAAAGAAAAAGATGATATTGAATATATGTATGTGAATTTTTACGATGTGTCAATCTAACAATTAATTGATGTTACATAATATTTTAAATAGAATATGCACGCTTTCTTGCATTACAGCAAGATCGTAATCTTGTAATCGGAACAATGTAAAAACTTCAAATGCTGCTGTGATACGGGAAGTAGCGCTAATTTAGAATCAGTGTGGGGTACAATGTAATTGTTAGTTAACGTCGAGAACTCAATTGTACATATGTCATATGTTTTAAATCTCTTTCATTCCAAAAGATAAAAACAGAAAAGTATTAAGGAAAATATATTTTTATACATGTATGTATGCGTGTAAATATATGTGCGCGCACGTGTAAGTAAAAGTGAAAATAAGAAATATATTTGTGTATTTATGTGTACACAAAAAGGACAAAATATATGTAAGGAAAGGCGATATGACTCAGTTATTAGATCTCGTTAGATGATATTATTTGTCGAACTATGAGATTAATTTTTTTTAAGGTTTCTCAACGATTAAAAATGTGCATTGTTACGTGAAGTTATCTTGATTCATTTATTAATAAGCATAAAAAATCTTATAAATAAGATGTTACTATTTGATTTTTTAATATCTTAAATAATTAATCTTATCTTAAATAATTAAATTTGCGAAAAATGTATATATATATATATATATATATTTAAATTCTGTTTATGTTTCTCTTTCGTGAGTATCTAAGGTACAATGTTTTACGACGTATATAAATTACATTTATATAAGAATTTTAATATAAATTAAAACGACATAATCTTAAAGTTGCCATGGGAGAAAAATATCAATATGGGATAAAATGGACCAAATAAATATGTAATCTTTTATATTTTTAACGACGATTGTATGGAATTGCTAGTTATCATAGCAAAACATACTTCAAATGTAATAAAGACTAGATTGTATGCATTAATAGAAAAATGTACTTGTGTTCAATGTACCAAAAAATGCAAATTAATGATTTTATATATAATTTTTTGCGGTTATTAAAATATTGGAAATTTATTAAAT